GATAGGTGAACTGAGACATTTCTTATATTAGTTTTAACTGATATATATATATATATATATATATATATATATATAGTCTTATCCTTTTCATACTATTTTCGTTTTACTGGTTCTCTTTCTTTCTACTCTGTTTAATTGCTAGCCTATTTGGTGGATTTATTCTATTTGGGTACATGGAATTGGCGTTTTTCTTTTCTCCTTCTAATATATCCTTCAGAACATTTGGAGTAATGATTTGGTGTGGTGAATTTCTTTAGGCTTTATTTGTTATAGTAGTGTAATTTTTTGTCTTTATCATGGTAAATTCGGATATCTTTCTATTTTTGTTATCTTTTTTTATCTCCTTTTCAGAGTTCTGTAATTTTTAGTGAGATCTTTCACTTCCTTTGTTAGATTATTATTCAATGTTTAATTTTTGATATGCTGTTGTGAAAGGTGTGATTTCCCTAATTTCTTTCACTAAGTTTGTTGTTTCTATACAGGGAATCCTATTGATTTTAAGTGTAGATTTTGTGTCTAGCTACATTACTGAGTTTCAGGATTAGTGGCATTAATTCATCTCTAAATTTCTAGGTTTTCTTTGTTGGTATGTTTTTAGTTACATTTTCAATTTCATTAACTGGTACTATGTTATTTAGGTTTTTTTTTTTTTTATTTTAGGGAAGGATCTACAGGGTGTTCAGGCTCTGACTGCTAGATTGGACTCATAGTGATCCACCTGTTTACAGCCTTCCAAGAGCTGGGATTACAGGCATGCACTACCACGCCCAGTCTTAATTGCTATTTTAGCTTGCTGTGGGGGCCAGGTCAGCACAGCAGCCCCAGGGATTAAACCCCTGGCCCTGGCACCTGATTGCAGATGCATTAATCCACTGAGCTATTTGGCTGGCCCTATTCAGAATTTTGATGCCTTCTTCTTCTTTTTTTTACTAAATACATTTGTTTATTTATTTATTTTGATGCCTTCTTGACTCAGTTTAGGCAATTCATATGGAAAGTATCTTATTTCTCCTTTGATTTTTGAAGGATGGGGTTTTTGGGTACATCTATCACAGTTGGAGTTGGAGTCTAGTTTGTTTTAGCAGTTGAAAAGTCTTACTCTAAGCTCTTCTTGATTTGAGGTTTTTTAAATTTATTTATTTATTTTTTATTTTTTTTTTAGAGAAGTTCGTTGTGATTCTGATGGGCTTTATGGATGATTTGTTTATTTTCTCTAACAACTTTTAATATTGTGTTCTTATGCTGAATTTCCATTTTTCAGGGTTGTCTTCAATGGGTAGGCCATTCTTGGTCTCTGTGTCTGTCCTAACAACCTACCTTCCCAATTTATTAATGAGGAGAAGTTGGTATTTGACTCTACATCCTATTTTTGGTACTGGCCTACCAAAAATGGTCATGGTTACAACCCAAGAAACTCACAATGTTGTCAATCAATAGAAAAAAAACTGCCTTAAGTAATACAATTAGCAATAACAATAGCATCAACTCTAGCCTAGCTACTAACCACCTTAGGTAACTATTAACCTGATACCTTTATCCCTTTGAGCAAGTTCTACAGTTATATGATGAAGTCCAATTTACACTAGGAAGTGTATGTGATCATTTTCTCCTTAGTTAAGTGATTGTAACCTCACGTGATAGGATTTGGGAGTTATAGGAGAGAAAAAAGGCTGGAGAGCAAAGGATGATCATGCAATTTTTGCAAAACTAGAAAATGAAGATACAATGTTCACTCACATAAAAATGTCATAAAGTCAAGAGAAATAGTTTAAGAGAGAAAGAATATGAATAGAAGAAAACACAAAGAATGGTTTGAAACCTAAGTAGCAAAAAAACTAAGGAGGTTAAAAAAAACCCAAAAAACACCCTACTAGAGAGAAAAGGAAAGCAGATCACACAAAGAAAAAGAAATGTAATAAATTTCCTCTGGTGTCCACAGTTCTGTGCTAGTGTCCAAGTTGCATCCCAGAAATGTGATATGTAATCCTCTTAAGTTTGCAGTAGAATTTGTGGTATATATATGGGGTTGACCTTGGCCTTTGGTTGTGGTGGCTAGGAAAACATTCTAAATATTCACTTCTCCTTACCGGGATTGTCTCTGTGGTCCTTTCCAAGTTGCTGGGGTGCCTTGGAGAGGGAAATCCTGGGGGTGCCACAAGACCCATGTATGACTGATCCATCTGGATCTTGTATTGCTTTCTCTGTTGCATAGTACTGAGTCCTTCTCTGATACATTATTGGGAGAAGTATCCATGTCCTGCTACACACCAAGACACCTTGCCTGTTTATGCCACTACGTTGACCCGCTTTTGCTGGTTTCAGACCAGGGTTCACTTCCAGTCCTTTGTATTTAGGGATAAAATTGGCTTTTGGTGGCCTCTAGAGTGAAGCCTAAGTGGTCCTAGCACACAGCTCTCATTAGAATTCTCCTTTGTCTGCTTCCCACCTTCCAGCAGTTATTGGCTGGATCCTCCTTCATTCTGTATTTGGATTCATTCTGGCACTTGGCAATGAAGCAATCCAGAACTGTTTTGCTGCTGTAATTTGCCCCAAACACTTTGAAATAAAATGGTATCCCAGCCATCCTACTTTTGTTCTGTATGTCTGTGTGCCGTAGACCACCTGGGTAACTCTCCTTGATTGAGCTCTTCATTTCTGGCTGGACCTGGCCCAATTTCCATGTATTGATGTGTGCAGAGCTGGCTAGGACTTTTCCTATCCCTTCAATTGGTACAAGCAGTGCAGGTTGGTTCAGCTGCGTGCTGATGTGTACTCTCAGAAACAAAGACAACAAGGCATTGTCACCCATTGTAGCCCACTCTAGCTCCTAAATATAAACATGTGTAAGTTAGGGTTGAATGGAAAGCCATGCTCCACAATGTTCACTGGGATGGAGCCTTGAGACAAGAAGCTGTGACTTTCTAGGGCATAAAACATTTCACATTAGAACTAAAACGCCAACCCTGAAACAATACATACTATCTCAATTGTGTTATGCAGATTACATTTTCAGCGTATTCTTTTTCTCTGCATATTGAACAGGTGATTTTAGCCTCTTACTTAGATGAGCTCACATCAGTTACATACTTCCAGTTGTTCTCACAGTGACTCATCCTCAAGCCACAACTCTTCACAAATTAATGAGACCCAAGTTTAGCCCTGCTTCAAGGCTTATGCTTCATATGACCATCATTGTAACTGGACCTGGATGCCTTGGCTCTTCATAACTACAGATATGCCTTAGTGTCTTTATTCTCAACATGGATTGCACTGGAAGTAGTATATTGGAGTTAACTCACTAGAATTTCAATATTGTTTCCATGGGATTACAAATATGAACTTCCTGGTCTATGATGAGGACTGGGAAGAGCTCACTATATATAAACTTTATAAATCATTTGTTTATTTACTTATTTGGTACAGGGTTTTGCTATGCGGCTTGGACTCATAGTGATCCTCCTGTCTCAGCCTCCCCAGTGCTGGGATTACAGGGTGTGCCACTATGTAGTTTCTATGGCTATTATGATGTGCTCGGGGTTTTGGTGCCACACAGCACGTGGTATGGGGATAGGACCTGGGTCTTTGTGTTTGTCAGGCAGGTGCTTAGACTGTCAAACTGTCTCCCCCAGCGTGTGTGTGTGTGTGTGTGTGTGTTAATTTTTTAGATATTTTTAATTTTCTTGCCTGAGACAGGGTCTTGCTATGTAACTATGGCTTTTGTTGAACTCACTGTGTAGCCCAGGCTGGCCTCGAACTTAAGGTGATCCTCCTGCTTTGGCCTCCCCAGTGCTGGGATTACAGGCATGCACAATCATACCCTGCTGAAGAAATGTTTTCTAGGAATAAATGGATTTTGGCTTTAGAGTCTGTTGCACGATTCTACTGCTTCAATTTATTGGAGATGAGAGGTTATTTCCTAATTGGCCTGCTACTTGGTTCTTTGGTAGTGGCGTATGCTATTGTTTATGTATGTATCTCAGGCAGTCTCAGTCATGGTTTACAAGGAAGAAAGACTGATTTGAATATATCTCCTTGGCTACAGTGGTACAGTCAGTAGTAATTGTAGCATCAGGGAAAATGAGAAACTGCAGTAACTATTCATTTGCCACATTCAACTGTATGAATAACATTTGTAGGTATATAACAAAGTCTAAAATCAGAAAGTGTATGTAGTAAATATCCTCTTCGTACAGCTGTTCTCTCAAGCTACAAACTGGGATTCAGCATGAAACTGCTGTTTAGCACGTCCCTCTTCTGTGTTTCCTCACTCTCTCCTTGGACTCCCAATTCTTGGTTTAGATCCTGGCTATATCTCAGGATCCCACTTCATTCCTATCCTTCCCTATGTTACTGTATTCTAGCACCTGGATTCCAAACGCAGAGAAGCTTATTTGCTGTTGTTTGGCACTCTGATATTTTTCCAGATGTCTGTATGCTGTTTTTTAAAGTTTGTAGGGATGATGCCTAATGATCGTAAGAACTTTCAGATATAGAAAACCCTTCTATCTCCTAACTTTGTTATAAGTAGCAGGAGGAGTAACTATTGTTCTTTACCTGGCTTTATAGTTCTAATATCTATAGGAATTTTTTTCTTGCAATACTAGTTTGCCAACATATGTAGCTTTCCTTTATAATTTTATTTTTATTGCTGTCTTTACCTATTCTACTATATATTCAAAGCCGTAACTACTTTAGTTATACAAGTTTTCTTAGGCAATAAAGTGAAAATGCATGACAATATTTCTATGTGAAAGAATACTTTCCTCATATACTATCCTGTAATACTAATTTCTTTCATCTTCTCCAGGTAATAATCACTGGCTTTTATTTCTAGAACCAATAATAGTTACCATGGAATCTAATCCTTGCTTTTCTTAGGTGAAGAGAGAGCCATGCAGCTTTTAAATCCAAGATTATGTAGGTGGCTATGTTTATACTGGACTAAAGGTGTAGTGATATTTGTAATAATTTATTACTATTTTTTAAGGCATGATACTAAGAATGACCCTGTTACTGAACTATATGTCTAACCCCTTTTTGTCACTTCTTAATGTATTTGAGCTGAAGCTGGATTGTTTATTAATAACAATAATTGCACTATACTAGCTAAGAGTTATTGAGTAACTACATGCCAAAAATAACTGTTATCCACTGTCCATTTATCATTTCAGCCATTGCTTATTATAATTCATAGGGTAATTAGTGAGTCATTACTTTTCCAGTTAAGAAAAGTGAAGAAGTATAGATAAATTTGAAGTATTATTTTATCTGTAATATCTTCACTCATCTACAGTGTTTAGCATTTCAAGATACTTGTCACTTCTTTATCTTTCAGGGATGAACTGTTCAGGATACCAAGAAATATACCAAGAAATATATTTAAATTTCATTTAAAAACTAACTTTACCTAACAAACATAGCCTCTCTCTCTCTCTCTGTCTCCCCCTCTCCCCCCTCTTTCTCTCTTCCCTCTCTCTCTTTCCCTCTCTCCCTCTGTCTCTCTCTCTCCCTCTCTCTCTCCCTCCCTCTCTCCTTCTCTCCCTTTCCCTCTCTCTCCCTCCTGTCCTTTCTGCCCCCTCTCCCTCCCTCTCTTCCTCTCTCCCTCCTGTCCTTTCTGCCCCCTCTCCCTCCCTCTCTTCCTCTCTCCCTCTCTCTCCCTCCCTCTCTCCCTCTCTCCTCCCTTCTCTCTCCCTCTCCCTCTCCCCCCCCAAAAAAAAAAACCCAAGAGCAAACAAAAAGGCACTGATGCTCAGCTCCCTGATGGGCTATGGCAAGCTCAGAGACCAGTGGGCTTGTCTTTTAGTCACCAAAAGGAGATGGGGACAAGCAATTGGAAGTGATATTCCACTTCCAAAGCTTATAACTTAAAGGTAGTGTGTTTAAAAAATCTTTCCCACTCCTAAATTAATAAAGACTTTTTTTTTTTTTTATGTTGGCTTTGATTGGGAAGGGGGAGGGTATCTTCCCAGAGAATTTGTAACCACAGTCCTGTCTTCACTTAGGTTTTAATTTCTGGCATGATCTAGGAGCCACCAAGGCAATAAGTTACAATACAGTCCTGGGTGGCCTTGTTATATTTCTTTGTACCCAGTAGTAAATACCAATATTTTCTGTGGCATTTGCTCTCAACTCTGGTAGTGTATTTGAAGTAGAAAGCCTCGCAAACATGTGAACTCACAATCCAAAATTACATAATACCTAAATAATATCTGTAGTAAAAATGAGTAAGAACATGCAGTGATAAAATTAGACTTCTAAAATGTCAGATAATGTAATTATTAGAAACTGATTATGAAACAACTATGTTTAAGATGGTTTAATAAGTAAAAGAGAAAGTTGAACATATAAGGCACATATGTCATTAAAGACAGCAGAATTTTTACGAAGAGGGAGATATCTTTTAGCACTTAAAAGTTATTCAATATACCAACCAGAAAATTAAATATGTTTGAAGGCAGTTTGTGAACCTGAAGTTGGTTATATGGAAATCCTCCAGAACTCAGCCCAGAAAAATATAGAAAAAAATGAGAAATACAAGTAAAAAAATCTTGAAGGTTGGATGAGAGGATTATTTACTGACTTTTCCTTTCAAAATTGATGTAGAATGTAAATATAAGCTGGAAAAATAAACCCAAACCATTGTAGATATGATAAACTTGGGGTGCTAAAGACAAGTATAAACATTTACATAAAAATAGAGGGAAAAGAATTATTGACTTACTCTTCACACATGTTACCTTTTGTTTCCCACACTTGATAACAAAGATGTCAAGGATAAAGAAAATATTTGTCCTCAAACATATATTTGCAACATGGCACTATTTGGAATTTCCTTCTTTAAGCATGTTCAGTTTGGTGATCATTCCCTTTTCAGCCAAAGTATGTTCTTGAAACTTCTTGTTGGTCTACATGTAAAAGCCATAAATTCCCCTCAGGATTTGCCCTGAAACCCCGTACTGCAGTTGTAGATCCTTTGTCAGTGTCAGTCATGTGGATGAGGCATGGCCATTGCTTGACCAATTTGCTCTCTGTGAAAGCCTGAGAGAATGTTTTCTGTCCTCTCCTTAGGCACACTACATCATCGATCACTTTCCTCGTTGGCCCCATAATCTCCATGATCAGTAAATTTGAGACACAACTGAGTTACAGGATGTTACAATATAGGTTCTCCTATTCTTGAAAGGCTAGGGCCAAAATGTTGGCTGTCCTTGCAGCCCTTCTTTTTCTCTAATTTTTGGTCTGCAAACTGAAGTTGTTAACCCTCCAGAAGAAAAGCTTGGTGATATTATTACCCTGTAACATAGGTAGTTGAACTGAACCTCACTATCTCTCTGAATATCAAACATCTTAGACATAACAGAACAGGTATTTTCCTTCAAGTATTGATATGTTAAACTTTAAATGCCTACAGAATATAAAGAAAAAAGAAAAAAATAGAAAAATAAAAAAAAATTTTTAAAAAGGAATAAACAATTACTTGTTTTTACACAGAAACTTAGAAATCTAACCATATACAGCATTGTAGCAGGACAGTCCTATGACTTGTTTTTCTTGTCTCTTGTTTTCATTTATTTGACTGACCTTGGCAGATATAAAAGTTACATTTCTTGTTATATAGGACTTCCTTTATCTTAGTCTTAACCATCCTGCAGAAAAGTATAAAAACGAGGTGGTAAAAAGTAAAGCCATATGACTATACTGAGCTGTAAAAGGCTCAAGTCAACAAATTCTGACATTGCCAGTCCTATGGATAACCCTCTACTGTTATGGACTACTGGACTATATTGGATTATTTTGCTGAATTCACACACCTACAATATTTAAATGGCAATGGAATACCCATCCCTGACAAAACTAAACAGATTAAGGGGATACAAATGAAGGACCATTTTGTATCTATAGATATAAAATAGTTAGGATAGATATACAGCTACTTTCTCCTAATTCAACAAGAAGAAAGTTTGTACTAATAGTGTTTGGACAGGTTATCATGTCTGCATCTTGTACTATGAATAACCACTATGAAGACAACAATATGCAATATAGTATTAGTAGGAAACTGTCCTACTAACCTGTTTTGCAATTCTCTCATTGCAATTTGTTTCTCAATAAAATTAGTAAAAAATAAATAAAAAGGTATAATTCTTCAGTACTCTAACCAAATTTCACCCCCTTCCAAACAAAAACACTTATTTTTGTATTTTATAGTTTTTTATTCCATAGCATAGAACAAAATTTAGTAAATAATCTTGAAGAGGAGCAGGTTCATTTTTTAAATTGAAAAAAAAAACATTTATTGAAGACCAGTTTTAAAGTTATAGTAAAATAGAGGTGATATATATATTTCCTTTACCTTCTGTTCAATACATATATAGATTTTTTTCCACTGTCTGACATCAGAATTTTACATTACATTGATGAGCCTAGCTTGGCACATCATAACCATTTAAATGCATAGTTTGTTTGTTTATTTATTTATTTATTTGTGGTACCAGGGATTGGACTCAGGACCCTGCGCTTGCCAGGCAGGTGCTTATTCTACTGAGGTATCTCCTTGGCCCTAAATGCATAGTTTCCTTTCGAATTCATTTTTCATGTTTTGTATTCACAGGATTTGGGTATATTTATATACACCTATTGTAGTGCTGTATAAAGTGTTTTCATAGTCCTAAAAAGCCTCTGTGTTTGGCATATCTGTCTATTCTCTCATTCACCTACACTTGGCTATCTAATCTTGGTAATATCTTTTAGAGTTTACTTCTTTTCTTGAATATATGAATATTATAAGAATCATATACAGTTGCCTTTTCAAATACATATTTTTTTCATTTAGTAATACCAATTTAAAGTTCCTCTGTGCCTTTTCTTGATATCTCATTTCCTTTTAGCTCTAACTTTCCATTGTCTGTATGCATCACAATTATCCGTTCACCTAAATGAGGAATATCTTAGTTGCTTCTGAGATTTAGCAATTATGAATATAGGTGGCATTAATATCTGAGTATAGGTGTTTTTGTGAATGTAAGTTTCAGTTTCTTTGAGTAAATAACCAGTAGCATAAATGCTTGATTGTATTGCAAGAATTTGCTTAGTTTTCTAATAAATTGCCAAACTTACTTCCACCATAATTGTTCCATTTTGTCTTTCTACAAGCAGTAATGAGAGTCCCTCTTGCTTCACATCTTTAGTAGCATATAGCAAGTTAGGTTAATTATTATTGCTAATGTGAATAATTTTCTAAGAATGTATGCTGTTAGTATGATAAAGATACTTAGGATACAATAATTCATGTAAGTTTAGAATTAGAAGCTAACTTACGTTAATCTTTATATGAAGAATTATTTCATAAACTGGGTGGCCAAATGTGTGGCTTTGAAGTGAAGTACATCCTTTCACCATAACACTGAATTATGTCAAATGTTTACCATTGTTGATCTTAAACATAAACATTATGAAGCAAAGAAGCTGATGTATTGTTTTCTAATGATCAATAAATATTGCTATTTTTGCTGGTAATTGGCAGGGACTGCTAGGTGCAAATAGGAATGAAACAATGAAAAGTAAGTTTTTACTGTAGAAGACTGTGTTTTCTATCTTGTGGATATTTAAAACTTTTGTTATTTACTTATCACTGAGTTATACTTTAGAGATTACTTTTATTTCATGTTATTTAATTATAAGTCAGTTGCTATATTTATATTCTGCTGAAAATATTAATGGATTTTGCTCAGATATTTTGGCTTAATCATAGGATATTGCTATATCTGCTTTTTGGTATGAAAAACAAAATTAGCAGGAGCAACAATAACAAAATTTCAATTCCTATTTTGGAAGCCATTTACAATTTTTATCCTGAATTGAATCTTAGAACTAATTAGCTCTCTTGGTATACTTGCTTGTCTTGTTTTTGTCTTAGCTACCAAGACATTAGGATTTCACTTTATCCTCGTATGATAAATTCTCCTCTGATTTACTTCCTTTTTTTGTTCTTCTCCTTTACTTTTTACTGTAAAATATACTGTTG